TTTATTGATGGAAGGTGATTTAAGTGATCAGTTCACGGGCGAAACGAGATAGTGAAAAGTTATCCTTTTGCAATGTTAAAAGCTAAGTAAAGTTATGAAGTTGATTGAGTAGAGCTCAGACTCGAAAGTGATGGCTAACTAGACTCACCCCCAAAGTCACCTTTTTCTAAAATATATATATATATATAGGGAGAAATTTCTAGGAATTAAATATAAAAAAAATTCATCAAATCAACCAAAATGATTTTTAAGTGTGAAATGACTATAAAATGAGTAACATATTTTAAACTAATTTATGATTAAACATTTTTAGTAAAATATCAAAATGATCAACATCAAAATTTACTCATAATCAAGGGAATATATATTGTAATATTCCAAAATAAAATCTGTTTTTTTTTTGTTCATCATGGGGACCATCAAGAATGACAAAAGGTGATTGATTAAAGCTATAAGAGAAGTGGGGAGAATTAATCAAGCAAAAATTGGCTGTCCATTTTCATTGAGTTAATGTGTGTGTGTATTGGCACTATATATAATCTACTAGTACTACTTTAGGCAGGCAAAGATCCACAATTTTTTTAATGGTGCCAAAACAAATAATTATTTCAATTTCTTTTTCTCCTTTTTTTACGAGATATTTTGTTTTCGTATTGAGGTTCTGACTAATCTGTATTTATGTTGCATAAGACTCATTTAAGAGGAAAGTGCTTTCATTTTTTTTTATACACATAATTCAAACTCGAGAATTATGAATTATCCGTCTCATCCCAACTCTTTTTGGTTCCCCCCCCCCCCCCCCCCCCCCCCCTTTTTTTTTTTTCCCCCCCCCCCCCCCCCCCCCCCCCCCCCCCCCCCCCCCCCCCCCCCCCCCCCCCCCCCCCCCCCCCCCCCCCCCCCCCCCCCCCCCCCCCCCCCCCCCCCCCCCCCCCCCCCCCCCCCCCCCCCCCCCCCCCCCCCCCCCCCCCCCCCCCCCCCCCCCCCCCCCCCCCCCCCCCCCCCCCCCCCCCCCCCCCCCCCCCCCCCCCCCCCCCCCCCCCCCCCCCCCCCCCCCCCCCCCCCCCCCCCCCCCCCCCCCCCCCCCCCCCCCCCCCCCCCCCCCCCCCCCCCCCCCCCCCCCCCCCCCCCCCTTTCTAACTTGAAATGCAAATTTAAGAAGGCGAGTTTAGAATGGAAACTTCATGAGTTTTGAATTCTATACGTTATTTACATTTATTGGATTTTAAAGTAGTATATGTAAATATGAAATGAATCTTCTAGATTTTTTCGGTTTATTTTGTGCAATGTTAGATTAAGGTGTTGTTTGCAATATAAATAGCTAATTTTTATATAACGATCCAACTTGTTCAAGAGATTGAAGCGTAGTTATTATTGTTAAGAGCTAATAAAGCAATGTTAGTATGCACTGTTTAAACTCATTGAGGAATCGTCATATGAGTCTGATACTATGTACTTTGATCTAAATTTTGTATTTATTTTTTAAAAATTATATAGGTATTTATAATCAATATTTTATATAAGTGTTGCCAAAGGCTTTAGCGACTTTGAATCAACGACATTAACTCAATTACGCTTAAAAAAAATTATTGCCACTAAATGTATTTTTTGTTGTAGTGATATAAATTATTGATTTAAACCTTGATAACTTAAAAATAAGCTAGAATTTAGAACCTATAAACTTCAAATCTTGAATCCCCTTATCATTTCATGAAATTTATACATATATGGACAATAATATAGTTGAAATTTAAACATGTCGTAACATATATTTATATTTTAGTGATAGTGGGTTTGGACTAGTTTGAGCGTATCTCGATTAAATTCATCGAGCATGTTATCTCCAACCGACCTAGGTACTGAGTAACTCTGCTCATCAAAGCTTTTGACAGATCGGAAGAAATTACCAAATATTTCTACTATCTATGTTGGGATTTAGATTGAAGGCAAAACCTAATAATTCATCACGTCATTGATCACTACACCGTACCCTTTCATCGAAACATTTAATCATATAATTTGTATATGATATAAGAACTTTTCAATAAGGATAAAACAATAAATTTAAAGTTGAAACCAGATAGGTATGAACTGGTAGGGGTCTCAATCCATAACCCATCTTTAAAAATTCAAACAAACAAACAAAAATCCCTCTACCACCTCAACAAACATATATTTATATTTTAGTGATGGTGGGTTCGGACCAGTTTGAACGCATCTCAACTAAGTTCATCGATCATGTTATTTCCAACAAACATAGATACTGAATAACTCTGCTCATCAAGACTTGAACATATATGAAAAAATCACCTCACATTTTTTTTAGCTATGTTGGAATTCAAAATGAACGCAAAACCTAACAATTCTCGATCCACTTCATAACCACTCCACCATACCCTTAGATCCTAACATATAGTCATACAATTTATATATAAATAAAAACTTTTCAATAAGGTTAAAAACAATAAAATGTAAAGTTGAAATTAGATAGGTATGAAATGGTAGGGGTCTCAATTGGAAGTCCATTTTCAAAAAATCAAACAAACAAATCCCTCTCCCACCTCAACCAACATAATTAATAAATGAGCTAGTCAATTTCATAATCTCCTATTTCTACCCACAACATTTGTCCCCCACATCAACCCTAGCTACCTCTCTAATCAACACTATTTCCTTTTCTTTTCCCTAAAGTTTTCCACCATTGGTAAAAAATTAGGGGTTTCAGATCGACGAGTTGGATTGAATTTAAATGAGTCAATAGTTACGTGAACAGAAGTGGACTAAAAAGTGAGTCATAATTTAACCAACTTAATTTTAATTTCTTTATTTTCTTTAACTTTTTAGTTGAAATGATCACACACTCATAACTCGTGTATTGAAAATCCCATTAAGCATAATTTATTTACTTTTGGTACAAAAATTTTACAAACTTATCAAAAAGACGTGGTGATCAATCCGATGTTTAAATTGATCAAATTAGTAATACTTAGGTTAATCAAAATTAAGTGATATATTAAGGTAACAAAATATTCATTAATCATGATTAAATAGTAGAAATACATGTAATAGAATACATAACATTTATACATTAAACCATAGTTTAATGTAAATATGGAGAAGGGTCAAAATTGCCCCTGAACTTTATGAAATAGATCACTTATACCCTCCGTTACATTTTGGGATCAAAAATACCTCCGCCGTTATCCCAAGAGACCACAAATACCCTTCAAAAGTTAACATTCTACATTTTTAATGACGTGGCAAGCCACATAGCACGGATTCCTCCTCTAAGCTGCCAACTAGAATTTCCACTAACCCACCAATTCATCCTCCCAAAAATTAACCTCCATAAGTTCCATAACTCAAGCAATGTATTCAAAGTTATGTATTCTGTTACTAATTCTACATTTCAATACCATGTGGAACGAAAAAAAGTTGAACATATTATTTCTTTTGATAAACAACCAGATACTAAGTGTGGAGTTTTATCCAAAGCTGCTGTAGGAAAGCTACCAGCTCATCCGCATAATCAAGAACCATTTGTCGAGCAAAACAATATTCAAAATAATTTCAGTGCTCAGTTTAGTTATCGTATTGAAAATCCCATTAAGCATAATTTATTTACTTTTGGTACAAAAATTTTACAAACTTATCAAAAAGACGTGGTGATCAATCCGATGTTTAAATTGATCAAATTAGTAATACTTAGGTTAATCAAAATTAAGTGATATATTAAGGTAACAAAATATTCATTAATCATGATTAAATAGTAGAAATACATGTAATAGAATACATAACATTTATACATTAAACCATAGTTTAATGTAAATATGATAAAATTCGATTTACTAGTATAAAAAGTCATGTGTAGTATTATTCTTTGTTCGACTAAAATGAATTTAAATGATACGACATGAACTGTGAAGACTCGTATACGAACACAAGCCTCTTAGCTTCCACAACCAATCCTTATTTACTAAATTCCGAACACATGCAAATCAGAAAAGACCGATGCGTTGTTGAACAATAGGCAGCGGCTTTAGGATTTGAACTTTTTATGAGTGCGGAAATATTAATTAAAAAAAATGAGCGGATGGGAAGCCTTTGCCTCTAAATTATCTTATCAGAGCCAGGTTTCGATCCTGGGACCTGTGGGTTATGGGCCCACCACGCTTCCGCTGCGCCACTCTGATTTGTTGTTAATGTTTTGCTCATATTAATATAAATATATTGTCTTTGTTTTACGCTGATTTCTAGCGATATTAGTTATTCATGAATAATTTACCTTCCTAACTAGCCAACAAACATGATATTACTTATGCCAGATTTAATACATGTATAACTCATTTTCAAACCAAATACCAAATCATAACAGTTTGTAGTCGTCGATGTGTAATCAATGTTGATATATATTATTCTTCACATAATTTGAATTCCAAGAATCAAACTTCTTTATTTTAACTATGCATTCATACATACAATTTAAGCTTTTTAAAAAATAATTTGCATAAATAGAAATAATTTATTTTGAAGTTTGTGTAATCTCAAAATTGAAGTGTGTTTTTGATTATTATGTCTTATGATAAAACCTGGACTAGATTCCACGCTTATGTATATAAAACCTGGGCAACATTTTATGTTGAACTGGCATTACAACGACATACCCAATGTAACCGACATCCAATCCATCAAATAAAGTCCGAAGAGGATAGAATGTGCAAACAACCTTAATCCTACCTCACCTATTATTTTCGAAGGACCCTCAAGTTCAAAAAAATGTGGAACTAGCATTGTAAACATAAAATTTCGGATGTCTTCAACCAAGGGATATGCAATCGGAAAGCAGCGCTGATCCAGCCAGATCACCGATGCACCGGAAAAAGTATAACTCTTCTCACTTCCACAACAGCTTTTTCTAACTTGAAAGGCGATAAATCAGAGATTGTATATGCTGTTCAAAGGTAGAAATACAAGGGAGACTGGCAAAAGAACGAATGCAGTGCTATTGTAATCGTAAATTCTTTCATCATTGACAAACAAAACGCTTCGTAAGACATCCACAAAAATGATACTGGGCTTACAAGCAACCCAATAAAAATAGAAGACCATTACCTGCATGTTTATATACCCAATAACTTAAAAGTGCTGCAATAACAAACACATCTATCATCATCATCCCCGTAATACTAATAACTGAAGAGTGTAATTACATGTCAGGAAGAGCTGAAAGGGTTAACTGGATTTTGCCTGGACACTGTACAAAAAAGATATGGTCGCAGCTTCAAACAATGATATACTCCTTACAATGCGCAAGTAACAACCTCCGTGTCCTGAATAACCCACCCTTCCGACACAATACCACGCCATGTAACCTTTCTCTCAGGAGAAACAGTATACCTTCTTTTCAAACAGTACGCTAAACTTCACGAAGATAACATGGGTTATTTGTTCTTTCTCAGCACCGGATGTCCTGTGCTTGGTTACCTTGACCAGAGAAGAAGACTTCCACCATGTCAGCCCTCTGACTCGACATTCAAGATTATTGGCAAGGAATATGTCACCAACTGACCTGAATTATTGGCAAACTCTTTTTACCTCATCTTAAGGTCAGATAAGACGGTCACATGTTGATAGCACAAACCAAATTGCTGGATGCAAAACTATAACCCATCAGTCATCATATAACAACCATGCGGTCTTCAACTATTGTAATGGAGTTTCTGATTTTGGAAGCCCTGGCTTTGTGGCCCTTGCTGCTGTTGAGGCTGGGAACTTTGCAAGTTCAATGGTTGTGTATTGTAGTGCGCAAATGGCTGAGAGTAAATTGGATTGAGTAAACTCTGGAAAGAAAGGAAACAAATTCAAGCGCCATTCCAAGGAAAAACTGAATCATCCAAGTCACAATGAGACTTGGTGAAATGAACAAATAGCAAGAAGAGAATATTTTGCAATAAGTAAAGTCTGCCGAACTATATCCTGGTCAGTGTTCTTAATGGCGCTCGCCATTCGCCAAAGGCGCAAAGGCGAGGCGAGGCGAGCATGTCACGCCATTTCTCAGTGAGGCGCGGCGAAACCAATTAGGCGACATGAGGCGACGTAATGGCGACCTAAATGGCGGCGCCTTTTAGTTTTTAAAATTTTAAAAAGGTCTTGGACTTAATATTAGTCAAAACTAGGGTTTTTTTTTCATATTTCCAAACTTGGGACTCAGTCGCGACTCTCTCTTCAATCTCGCGATTCTCTTCAACCTCGCAATTCTCTCGATTCTCTTCAACCTCGCAATTATCTTCTTCTCCTTCAGTCGACTCTTCTTCTCTTACTTTCTTCCTCGCGAATTGAAAGGTATGGTCTCTTTTCTTTCTTCTTCTCTTCTTTTCTTCTGTTCAATTTCATGTGAAGTGAATCTGAAATTCTGAAATCTGAAGTTCTGATACTACTGCTTTGCTGCCTTCTCTGCTCTGTTTTTTTACTCTGTTTCTTCACTGCTTTGTTTTTAGAGGTACCAAAGATAAAATACAAATGACATTAAAAGACCCATTTAACTACTATTAGAATTATTTATTTGTTTTTGAAATTTTAATTTAATTTACTTGAAAAATCAGTACTTAAGTATGCAAATTTCATTTACGTTTGGAATTTAGAAAAACATTCAAATTTTTGTTTTGATCTACAGTTCTACACCGTATTTCTCTTTTTTAAAATTTATCTTACATTTTTTTATTTTTTTATAAAAATTGTATCATTTAAATTACATGTCATGTTAAATCATATATCACTGCTCTGTTTTTTCCTCTGTTTTCTTTGTTCACTGTAAAATGTTGCTGAATGCTACTGCTTTCACTGTGCTGTCTATTATTTTTTTTAAAAAAAATTAATTCTTCTATAGTAATTAATATAGTATCTGTTGTATTGTACAATAGTGAATTAAATGGCGGATGCTAGCAAAAAAGAGGGACATTGGATGGAATTATGGTACTCAAGGAGCAACGAAAGATTCGGTAATTGAACTTTTGTGAGAGTACTTTTAATGGTGGAATAACTCGACACAAGCAACATTTTAGTGGGTGGTTTCAAGAATGTTAAACAATGTACAGCTTGTCCGTCGGCGATTAGAGAAGAAGTAAGGGCTTATATGCAAAATAAAATCGCTAATAATCCCAAATTTCAAGTGAGGCTGCCGGAAGAATATATTGATATTGATGATGTTGATGATATGGATGAGTATGCGGAAATGATACCTCCCTCCAAAACTCCAAAGATATCTTCTAGTGGAGGTTCATCATCCACCGCGTGGAATGTGACGAAAGGCCCTATGAATCTCTATTTTCCGCATAAATCAACACAAAAAGGAGGCTTTGAAAAAGGAGGAGGAATTGATGAAACAAAGAAAATTCTAAGAGAGCGTGCGGTAAGTGCTTTCGCGATATGGATGTATGATGCGGGGCTCCCTTTTAATTGTGTCAATCACAAATCATTTGATAAATTTATTGAGACAGTAGGACAACATGGCCCCGGAATGAAGCCTCCTACATTCCATGAAGTTAGAGTTACTCACCTAAAAAAAGAGGTGGAGAAAGTGGAAAAAATTGTTGATGAGCATAAAGTGCAATGGACAAAGTTTGGATGTTCCATTATGATGGACAAATGGACGGCACGAAATGGTAAAATGATCATCAATATTTTGGTGAATTCTCCAATCGGTAGTGTATTTCTTGGTTCTGTCGATGCTAGCAATGAATCTATCGATTCCACCAAAATGTACAAGTTGTTTGAAAGCACTATTGAAAGAATTGGACCGGAAAATGTTGTACAAATTGTCACTGATAATGCTAGTGAGAATGTTAAAGCGGGAAGCATGATGATGGGTGCGTACCCACACATTTATTGGACTCCATGTGCCGCTCATTGCATCAACTTGATGTTTGGTGACATATTCAAGGTTAAGCCATATGCTTCCG